AGACAGGTTCCAGTAAAAATAGTTTACCTGGTGAATTTGTTGTAAAGAAAAATGATCATGGTGTAAGTCAAATGCTCTGATTAGCTCCCCATTTATTTACGCTCTTTTAACTTTTAAATTTCGGATTTTCTGAATTTTAATTTTCTGTTGTAGGTGCCAATTGTTTATCCAAAAGAAGCTTGCATTGAAAATGATACTGAGAATTTACTACGTGTAGTTTACGATCATGGTAAAGTATCTGAATGGGACGATTTTGACACTATCCGAAGACGTGTGGCTAAAGACTGGCCACTTTTACCACGTACTTATGATAATATTAGTCCAGAACTTAAATTAAAAATTTCAGAATGTCTTCAAGAGATTAAAAATAGTATGTCGCAGTGAATTTTTGTTTTATAATTCAATTTTTTATTATTTTATCATTATTCACTCAATATAAAAATATTATACTGCACAATGTAAATTTGTGAAATAAAAAATATTAATCGTAGCTTGTTTATTTGGATTATTTTATTTAAAAAAAAAAGGCCTTTTCATTTTCGAATTTTTTCCTTGGCTTTTGTTAAACAGTAATTAATATTACTTAAGAAATTTAATATTTGTTAATAAGACTTACGGATAAACTAAGGCTATACTAAAGCAAAGTCTCATTAAATTATAATTAGGGAGATTAGTCATGCTGTGATTGATAGTTTTGTCTAGATATAAACTTTTTTGCAGTGTTATATGTGTTGGAGAATAAAAATCGACTTTAGAAATAGCTCATTTGTGCGTCTGAAAGTTAAGTCGTGTCGATTTGACATGATTATATTTTTGCTCAAGTCTAATTTTTTTCAACTTTATGACTTTTACTAAAATGCACATATGTGTTTTGATTCATTATCCAAAAAAACTAGCTAATTAATCGGCACGAGGTGTTCTAAGTAAAATTTTCTAACTCCAAAACCCTACCCAAACCATAATTAACCCCTTTCAAAGTTTTTTCAGTGATCTGCATCTGATCATTTCTTTTTTTTATGGTTAGATTAGGATTTAGGGTTAGTTTTGATAATGAAAGAGTATAAGT